GTTTATGACATGCAAGCACCTATATGATTCTGATACACTTACATAAAGGAATATCACCGAAGTCCTGGACAGTTATTTTAAATTCACTGATTTTTTTTAAAGCTAAGAATACTTTTTAGGGAAAGAGAATTTGTAATGTTGCAAAATGAAGCAGTAATAATAGTATGTCTGAACCTCAAAATGGCTAGAATCAACTTTTGGAAGTGGACAATACCTAGTCTGGCAAAAATAATGAAGACCAACTTACCCTTTTGTTTATTGAGCTCCTGATCTTGATTCCTAATAGGCAGCGACTAGAATTAAAGAGGGTGAATAATATTTGGAATGACATGGGACTGTTATTTTCAGATAATTTGGTCTTTCTGAAGCTGTAACAGTACCAATAAATTGTTTTGCTCCCTGGACAGGCTTGAGAAGGAGAAAGCAGAAATTGAACGCATGCGAAACCTGACTGAGGAAGAGAGAAGAGCTGAGCTTCGGGCAAATGGCAAAGTTATTACCAACAAAGCTGTTAAGGGCAAATATAAGTTCTTACAGAAGTATTATCACAGGGGTGCCTTCTTCATGGTAAGAAGTGAGAAGAGAGTCCAAAAATTGGGCAGTAGGAATAACTCAGATACTGAATTATTTTTTCTCCTCAAGAATGTTATTTTCACTTGCCAGTGGTCAGCTTTCTCATTTGCTGTTTCCCTCTGAAGAATATAAACTCAGAGAAAAGCATCATCAGTAATTGGATTATAGAAGTGTAATCAACTCTCTTTTGGCCCCAGCTCTCAAAAAGAGGAAATGATGTAATAGACATATATTTTTTTTTTTACGAGACAAAGTCTTGCTGTCACCCAGGCTGGGATACAGTGATATGATTATAGTTCACTGCAACCTTGACCTCCTGGGCTCAAACTATGCACCTGCTTTAGCCTCCAGAGTAGCTGAGACTATAGGCATGCACCACCATGCCTGGCTAATTTTTCTTTTTGCTAATTGCTAGTTTTTCAATTTTTTGCAGAGACCAGGTCTCACTATATGTTGCCCAGGCTGATCTTGACCTTTGGGCCTCAAGCAATCCTCCCACCACAACCTCCCAAAGTACTAGGATTACAGGCATGCGCCATCATCCCCAGCCTTAGATAAACTGAGGAAATGAAATGGAGAAGTGATCTATATAGATAGTGGACTAATTAGGTCCTCCAAATCACATAGTTGTTATTATTTCATACCTGAATAAGAAGTTTTGGGTATGTGAAAACCAAACTGCAAATAGCTTTACATTAATTCACATTTGGGTGGTAAAAGGTTCACTTCATTCTGAACTGACAAAGTACCTAAGCATAACTAACCAAAAGAATGGTTTATTATCTAACCATTAGGTGGAGTGCCATCTTTGTTCTTCACGTAAAGTCTAAAGTCAAAATACCAATCTGCTAACCCTGTATGGTTTATGATTTTGTCATGTTAAAGCAGTTTGTATCAAAAACTAGACGAGCTTTTTCAACTGTTTAGCAAATTCTAAATATCCCCACCGCAACTAAATTCCTGCCCTTCACTTTAGATGTGAGTTTAAAGTCCCAATAAAATATCCAGCTTATATAAAAGGCAGTAGAAAATCCAGGATTGGAGATTGGAGAGGCCTGTGCAGAGCTGAAGTCACATGAGTAAATGAACACATTGAGTGCAGAGAGAATAAGCCAACCTTTGAGTCATGTCTATATTCAAGGAGAAAATCAGGCATAGTTGCGTGCACCTGTAGTCCCAGCTACTCAGGAGGCTGAAGTAAGAGCATCACCTGATCCTGGGCGGTCAAGGCTGCAGTGAGCAGTGATCACACCACTGCACTCCAGCCTGGACATCAGAATGAGACCCCCCCCCGTCTCAGGGAAAAAAAATTAAAGATAATACAACAAAGGAAAAAGAATCTCTTCAACTAGATGTAAGCTCTTGAAGAAAGACTCAATACCCTCTGCTTTCTTTGTATCCTTCATTGTAAAGTATGTTTGTGGTTTGAATATATAGGAAATAAAGCCACTAGACTGATAAGATTCTTCTCTACAGGATGAGGATGAAGAAGTATACAAGAGAGATTTCAGCGCTCCTACCCTGGAGGATCATTTCAACAAGACCATTCTTCCTAAAGTCATGCAGGTATGGGGAACCTTAATAACATGAAAAAGTAATGTATTGACAGATGAGGTATGGTTTGATGGTGTAACCATCCTACATCTTCCCTCAGGTCAAGAACTTTGGACGCTCAGGTCGCACCAAATATACTCACCTTGTGGATCAAGATACCACTTCCTTCGACTCAGCTTGGGGCCAAGAGAGTGCCCAGAACACAAAGTTCTTCAAACAAAAGGCAGCTGGGGTACGAGATGTATTTGAACGGCCATCTGCCAAGAAGCGGAAAACTACCTAGGGTAGTTTTGCTTATTCTTCCAACTGTGGAACACGAGGGGAAGTCTCAGCATATGGTCCTTGATTTGCTTTTTCATTATTTCCTTGGCCCCTGTATCCAGCTATTGGACCTACCTTTTATAATTCTGATACTGGGTAGCCCAGACTTGGAAGGTGCTTTGCGAGGTTTGGACTCATGCTGAGAAACCCACAAGGAAAGCACTGTCCAGGTAGAATTAGAAGCTTCCTGCTTAAAACTATTTCTGAGAAATCTTAGGTTTTATCACTGCTATGGTTTCCCATATTTACTTGGGACTGTTCTGAGTTTTTTTCCAGCCCTTAGCTTGGGTTAGAAAAGTGGGCATGTAAGTGAACAATGCATTACTTCTACCTTAGGTTTAGGAGTAATATACCAGGAAATCTAAGCTCATAGAAATATGTTTTCCATTTTTGCTTGGGGTCCATTTTTCTACGGGTACATACTTTTTGATCCATGTATGTGTGCATGTCAAGAAATAAAAGAATCATCCACCAAGGAGATTTTTAGCATGATACTGGAAATGATGTCCAGGCTGACAAGCATTAATTACCTATTAAAGTAAAAGGTAACAGAATCGTCAGGGAGAAGGTGTTTCACATTTTGATCATTCCCTTTGATCTCAGGAACTAGCCAGGCTTTAAACAGCATCTGGATTTATTCCATGACCAAACAATTGAGTGTCCTATGATAAAAATTAATGTAAATAGTTACTATGAGGGGCCGGGCGCAGTGGCTCAAGCCTGTAATCCCAGCACTTTGGGAGGCCGAGGCGGGTGGATCACGAGGTCAGGAGATCGAGACCATCCTGGTCAACATGGTGAAACCCCATCTCTACTAAAAATACAAAAAAAATTAGCTGGGCATGGTGGCGTGTGCCTGTAATCCCAGCTACTCAGGAGGCTGAGGCAGGAGAATTGCCTGAACCCAGGAGGCAGAGGTTGCAGTGAGCCAAGATCGCGCCATTGCATTCCAGTCTGCATAACGAGCAAAACTCTGTCTCAAAAAATAATTAATTAATTAATTAATTACTATGAGGTGGTAAACACATAAAGATGAACATAAGTACAAGTCGCTATTGTGTGGGATACAATCTAAGAATTATCCTAGTCAGAATGAGGGTAAGGCCTTGAAATTCTTATGGGAAAATGTTTGTAACTGCCATTTAAGTATCCATACAACAGACTCTAAGGGGCCTTTACAGTTTTATAGTTGAGAAAACTAGTTCAACAGGTGTGACTTGGTCAAAGCTGATTAAACTTTTTTAATTTTATTTTTGGAGACCTAGTTTCACTCTTGTTGCCCAGGCTGGAGTGCAATGGCACAATCTCAGCTTACTGCAACCTCTGCTTCCTGGGTTCAAGAGATTCTCCTGCCTAAGCCTCCCAAGTAGCTGGAATTACAGGCCATCTACCACCACATCCGGCTTAATTTTTTTTTTTTTTTTCCAGTAGAGATGGGGTTTCACCATGTTGGCCAAGCTGGTTTCAAAACTCCTGACTTCAGGTGATCCACCCACCTTGGCCTCCCAGAGTGCTGGAATTACATGCGTGAGCCACTGCACCCGGCCCTGATTAACCTTTAAAGTAAAAATTCTACGGTCCTAGATGGCATGTAGAATGTATTATGGCTCTGAATTCAAATACTAATCAAAACCTTTCATTGATCTTTTTTTTTTTTTTTTGAGACAGTCTTGCTCTGTCACCTAGACTGGAGTGCAGTAGCACAGTCTCAGCTCACTGCAGCCTCAACCTGCCAGGCTCAAGTGAATCCACCTCAGCCTCCAGAGTAGCTGGGACCATAGAGAGGTATATGCCACCATGCCTAGCTTTTTTTTTTTTAATTTTAGTAGAGATGAGGTCTTGCTACGCTGCCCAGGCTGCTCTGGAAATCCTGAGCTCACACAATCCTCCCACCTCAGCCTCCCCCAAAGTGCTGGGGTTACAGGCATGAGCCACCACACCTTGCCCAACCTTTGATATCTTCTAGTCTTACCATGTTCTAACCCTCAGGTACCTAAAATTTTTTTTTCTTGGTAGAGATGAAGCCTCATTGTGTTGTCCAGGCTGGTCTCAAACTGTGGGGCTCTCACATTATCCTCTTGCCTCAGCCTCCCAAAGTGTTGGGATTACAGGCAGGAACAACCATGCCTGGCCCCTAAGCTGTTTCTTTTCTTTTCTTTTTTTTTTTTTGATCACTCCAAATCAAGCATGTTGTAGGTACCAAAATTCTAACTCAAGGTGGCCTATGAACTGAGTTCATAACTTATATCTACCTATATATGGTGGTTCCTAGGCAGGGAGCTGGCCTTTTAGATATTCATAAGCTACCTTGGAGACACATACCATTGAGTACAGTAACTCTGCTGAGACTCCATATGTACCTTGAATACTATTGAGAGCTAGTCAGATGAATGAGACTGGGCTGCCACCTGGCATCTACACATAAGGTATTCTTCACTGATTTTTTACATAGGTGTGCCAAGGTGTTAATGAGTCACTTAAAGTCAATTATTCCCCAACATATAAATTCCCCACACAAAAATATAGTATATATTGCACTGGACCCAAGATGATGAAACTGCAAAAAGACAAAAAAAAATTTATTGCCATAAATTAATCCAGTAGGTACATCTAAGAAAGCACACATCAGTTGGTTAGGGCAATAAGCGCCTCTACCACATTGCCCATGTGTTCCCGCAAGCTGCGTTCTGCTGCTGCTCGAGATATCTCCATCTCGGTCATCTGCAGAAAAAAATCATGTTAGATAAGTTCCCAGGCACTAATGTGCCACCGAATATACTGACTCCACTTGTTTCAGGAAACAACCCAAGTAGAACAACCTCCCCTGCTCATACGCTAGAGTCAGGCACTACTACTCACTATCAGTTCCAGATCTTCCTTCTTGATAGTGACTTTTGCCAGTTCTTTCTCCCTGCAAATATTTAAATAGATTAGTCCTCATTCTCAACAAACACCATAAACTCCCAGGAAGGGTCATTCCCAAATGTGCTCTGTAAATAAGTCTTGGTAAATACTTGATTGAAAACTCCCACTAATACTCCTTTCCCCTGAAGTCTGGGGGGCAGGTGTTGCCAGAAGGCCTTCTGCTAACTAGAATAGTAAAGTTATGGCGCCTAGATCTACAGGAATTGGTGATAAAGTTGAAGAACGGTATAAAGTCTTAATAATGCTTTTTATTTTTGTCTGGGAAGTGGGGAGGGAAGAACTGTTAAAGGTGGCTACCACTGAAGACTCACCGCTCCTGTTTGGCTTTCTGCTCCCGGGACCTTCTGTCTCCAATCACAGACATGGCCTATGGGAAAGGCAGGTCTAGTTACTGCTCTGCTACCCACAATTCCCAATAATCTAAAAAGCCAATAAAACAAGCGGCTCATGTATGAATTCAAGATAAGTGTTACCATGTAGCAAGGACTATGTTTAGTTCCATTCTATGCATCTGAGGTCCCCTTAAGCCCACTATCAAGCTTCTTTAGGCAAGGGCGGGCTCTGATGACCGCTGTTTCCCTCGGTTCTATCCTATTGCCGCCTCCTGCCATGGGGAACAGAATCCCGTCTTAGGGCGCCGGCTTCCAGCTACAGCCTCAGAGCCTCCCTCTGCTCTCAGCCCGCCCCGAGACGTTCTTGGCCAACCTTACCGTCTCCAGATTGGAACTCTGGATCTCCTTCTCCTCTGCATAGTCGGTGACCCGCTCCAAGTCCGCCGCGCCGCTGTCATGTTTCCGTGGCTTCTCGGGAGGTCGCTCTGGGCCACTGGTCTCGGTCTCTAACTCTAGCTCCACATCCCCCTCGGTCGCCATATCTATTTCACCACGCCGCTGCATAAGCCCCACCCCACGGCGACTTCCGCAACTGACAACTTCCGCCCGGGGAGGAGGCGGGGCTGGCCCTGGGCCACACCTTCTTTCTGCTCCAATTCTAGAAGCTTCAGCGAGGGAGGCGGTTGTCTTAGACTTCCTTTAGGGCTTTTACAGTGTTGTCTTCTGCAAGGTCTTCTGTCATACCTAACCCGTCACCATTCCGGCCCGCCCCACCGACACCTTCCCCCGTCTTAACCTAGAACAGTCACCTCACTACATACACACGCACCTACCTCAGGGAACTCCGTTCAACCTGAATGGGTGACGTCTAATCCTAAACCAATTAAGAATGCTAATCCACAAGAGACCAGATAGACAAACAGCCCCTAATCTGGAGAGAAGAGCCTCAGTGGTCCCAGTGATGAGGCCCTGAGGAGAAAACTCCTTCACAGGGCATTTGCATTTACCGCATCCTGGAGGTCAGCATTGTCTTCCGGATGTCCCCATTCTGCCTGCGACCCGGTGCTCAGCCCCAGCACAGTGGAAGTCCAATGGGCTGAGGAAAGAAGCAGCTACTGCTCTCATCTGCCTTCCATCTGGTGGACCTAAGCCTAATCCCTGGGACAAGGATGGTGGGTGCCAAGGCCGGCCCTGGCCCCAGCACCTCCCTGGGTCTGGCACAGCAGCACAGCGGAAGCAGCAGTGTCCTAGTGAAAAACCCCTTCTGTCAGGTGAGAGGGTACAAAGGGGAGAGTGGCTGAAGCTGGGGAGGAAAACTTGCAGAAGCCAATAAAAACGACAGGCCTCTTTTCTAATGTCGTTCTGGTTCTTTGCCCCTGGTCATCTGTAACTCTATCCAGCTATGTTCCCAGCCCCAGGTGTTTAGGTCTAGAGAAAGGTCAGATATCTGAAGCCTGCTTGTAATGAAACCCCTAGTAAGTTGTCAGTGGAAGGCAATCCCAAATGGCTGCAACCAACTTGAAACAGAACCTGAGTCAAAGGAAGAAAGGGGACAGGGAAATTTTGGAATTCAACCTCCTGGGTTAACCTCACACATACATTAACATATGGTTTTCCTCAGCAAGTCCACCTCGCCGCCTTGCATCTGCTCTACCCCCAGGTGTGCTGCTGTGGGCCTGCTCCTTGTGCCAGCTGCTGCCACTCTAGGTGGCCCTTTCTCACCGCATCCACCTGCAGCCGCTTGTTCTACATCTTCCTCCATGTGGGGGCCTCAGCAATCTGCTGCCTCCTGCTGTCAAGGACAGTAGTGGAAAGGGTGTGGGGCAAGACACACAGGGTAAGTGAGAGGGGGTCAGGTTGTCAGGTGGGAAGAGATAAAAGGAAAAACCCTGACAAAGAAAAGAGATTTGGGTTGGGGACAGGAAACAAATGAGTGGTCATACCCCATGACAAGTAGGTACCTTTCCATGCATTATGATTTGTCCTGCATTTCTCACACACACTCTCCCAGATCCAGATGCCCTCAGGGTTGTGTGCCCACCTGTTTGGCCTCTCTGACTGTCCAGTGCTCAGTGGTTCTGGGGCTGTGTACCGAGTATGTGCAGGAACCGCCACCTTCCACCTGCTGCAGGCTGTGTTGCTGGTCCACCTCCACTCCCCCACCAGCCCGAGGGCACAGCTGCATAATAGGTTTGTGTGTACTTTCTGGGTGGGAAGGGGACAGAGGAGGGAAAGTAGACACAAGCTGGGTAAAGGAAATTCCAGGATGAAGTAATAGCACTGTAAAAAGACAGAAAACAGGTTTAAGTCCCTGCTTCCAGTGTACTTGCTGTGTGACCTTAAGACTTAATCCTCTTTAGGCTTCTAGTATCTAAAATGGAGATAACAGTGGGGTTATCTTTGTAACATAATCCTCTATAAACTGTAAAACATTACCCAGTGATATTATTTAAGTATTTTTGGGTTAGAATTTGGAATAAGCTGCAATAGGCCTGTCCCAGCCCCCTCATTTGGGATTGGTTCCTCAGTTGTCTCATCTGTCTGCTTTCCTATATTTTTGCTTGCTCTCTTGCCTTTCCCCTTAGGCAGTCTTCACTCTCCTTTGCCTTTTCTCCTGAGTCTGGTTTTCTCTCTCCCTCCTAACCAGCTTCTGGCTCCTCAAGCTGCTGTTCCTGTTAGGTCTCTGTGCCGTTGCCTTCTGCATTCCTGATGAGCATCTCTTCCCAGGTAATCTCCCTCCCACTCTCTTGGGAGGATTAGGCTAAGTTTTCTAAGATAAGAAGCAGGTAAGAGGAGGAGTAATGATTTGACCACATTTTTCCACTGGTTTCCACTTGCAGCCTGGCATTACATTGGCATTTGTGGAGGCTTTGCATTCATCCTACTACAGTTGGTGCTTATTACAGCTTTTGCCCATTCCTGGAACAAGAACTGGTAAGGGGCACTTAACCCTAAAGGCTCATCCTGGGAAGGTTTCTAGTATTACTTTATGAAGGGCTGGGCAAAAGACATGGCAGACCACTGGTCCCACAGCCTCCCACTGAGCAATATCAAAAAAGCTTAGGAATGTGATGACTCTGTGGGCCAAGTAGGATGGAGTCACACCAGTCTTCTGGGAGCAGGGGAATAGTTGGTAATGGGTAAAAGAGTTGGAGCTCCAAGTCATTGCTCACCTTTCACCCTTAGGCAGACAGGTGCAGCTCAAGACTGCAGCTGGTTCCTGGCTGTCGTGCTGGCCACCCTAGGATTCTACAGTATGGCAGGTGTGGGAGCTATGCTCCTATTCCGCTACTACACACACCCAGCTGGCTGCCTGCTCAACAAGATGCTCCTCAGTCTGCACCTTTGCTTCTGTGGCCTCATCTCCTTCCTCTCCATCACTCCTTGCATCCGCCTCAGTGGGTACATGCCCTACAACATTCCAGATTCTGGGGGCCTTAAAAGTGTATCAAGTTTCATTATCTCCCTAATCTCAATTACTTGATAAAAGAATCTCTGCTTCCCTACCCCCACGAGGAGACAGTAGTACAGGTGGGGGTAGGAACAGAGGAAACACCCTGTAGACTAAAGCAATGATACTCACTCCCCAGAGCAACCCCGGTCTGGCCTTCTACAAGCCTCTGTCATCAGCTGCTATATCATGTATCTGACCTTCTCTGCGCTGTCCAGCCGTCCTCCAGAGAGACGTAAGGAACAGGATCTGGATTCTACATGCTAAGACCTTTATTTGCCCCTGCCAAATAGCCAGCTCATTGTTCTTCACACCATCTCTTCTGTGTCCCTTCCCAGTAATCCTTCAAGGACAGAATCACACCCTGTGCCTGCCTGGCCTGAGTAAAATGGAACCCCAAACACCAGATACCTCTCTAGCAATGCTGAGTGCTGGCATCATGTATGCTTGTGTGCTTTTTGCTTGGTGCGTAAAGCTGTCAAGGGTAAAGCTATGAGAGGAGGGAGGGTACCCAGGACAGGGAGGGATGGTCAGGGGAATGTCTGGGACCATAGTTTATTTAAAGTTTTGAGCAAGACTAGAGTGAGAAAAGTTCCCCACAAACAGGGACAATTTCTAAGAATAGTACTTTGTCAGATGATCTGTATGAGATAAAGGAGGCGGGGGAATGATTTGAGAATGTAAAATATGTGCAAAGATCTTAGGGCTCTCACATGAATAGAATTCTAAATCTTTGGTGGAAAAGGGCACAGGCAGTAGGGTACCCTCTTTTGAGGGCTACCAATATGGACCAGTTGGTAGTAAATGCCCCCAGATAATCCCTATTTAACTAGACCAGCTTAAGAAATCTCTTCTTTCTCAGCAATGAGGCTTCCTACCTGGCTGAGGTATTTGGACCCTTGTGGATTGTCAAGATTTACAGCTATGAGTTTCAGGTGAGGATAAACAGCTCAATATCCCCAACACCCCTCCCTCCCTCACACAAAGACACACACATCCTACCAACCTCTACCCAGAATGTTCAGATTCTAGCAGCTATTACCTTTTATTGAGTACCCACAATGTGCTAGGCAACTGTGCTAGATACATTTACATAATCTCATTTAATTTAACCCTCACAACAACCCTGTGAGGTAGGTATTTGCTCCATTTTACAAATGGAGAAATTGAGGCACAAAAGATTAAACAGCTTACCAAAGTCCGCATAGCCAGTTATATGATGGAGCTAGAATTTGAACCCAGGTGTGCCTTCACTTTTTAATACTAGACCAATCTTTTCACGGGGGAAGTTTCCTAGATTAACACCCTCACATATTTTAAGACCATTCCAAAACCTGCATTCTGTTTTGCAGAAGCCCTCACTGTGTTTCTGCTGCCCTGAAAGAGTGGAGGCAGATGAAGGTGAGTGTCAAGTGAGGAGCCATAAGAAGTGGCAAATCTCTGTGGAGTGCCATAAGAACCTTCAAGAGCCTTAAAGAAAGTAGCTGGGGGAGAGTGGAAGAGGTGTTTTAGCAGCACTGCTCCCAGCAGCCCTTTCATCTCTCCAGGACAAAGGGGTGGGGCTGCTAGGCCAGCTGACCAAGAGACCCCTCCAGCTCCTCCAGTCCAAGTCCAGCATTTTTCCTATAGCTATTCTGCCTTCCACTTCGTCTTCGTTCTTGCCTCACTCTACGTCATGGTTACCCTTACCAACTGGTTCAGGTAAGATGGAGGTGGGCCTTAGATACTCTCCTGAAGATCTAGCTATTTTACAGAAAGAGCAATCCAAGGCCATCCCAGATACACATGGGTCTGCCATTATTTTTGGTGACGAGGTAGAACAGCTCTAAAAGCTAAGGCCCTTCATATTCTCTAACCAGAGCCTTTGGTTACACAGCTATGAGGGAGCGGAACTGGAAAAGACCTTCACCAAGGGCAGCTGGGCCACCTTCTGGGTTAAGGTTGCCTCATGCTGGGCCTGTGTACTCCTCTATCTGGGGCTGCTACTGGCACCACTCTGTTGGTCCCCCGCCCAGAAACCCCAGCCCCTTATTTTCAGGCGACGAAGGCGACACCGCCACTGCATCGTATCCCCAGATAACAAATATCCTCCAGTCTAGGTCCCTTTCACAAACGGGTTCCCCTGACGTTGTACTCCTAGACTTGGCTCAAGGAGAGCTGTCCAGCCCAGCTCAATATATCAAGGATACAATGGGGAGTTATCTCCCTTTAGGCTGAAGTCAGTACTATGTCTGAACTGGAAGAAGTGGTCAAACACACTCTAATGCGCTGGGCAGTGTCTGACTCACCGGAGCTACTGTTACAACTGCATCCCAGCTCAAAAGCCTAACTCCCAAACCAGCAGCTCATGAACCACTGTTGATTTTAGCAGACAGTGTGGCACCAGCCCTTTCCTGGCCTTTGGGCTGGAAGTGGGGGTGGGGAAAGACCAACAGGGACTGAAGACAGCTCTGCCCTTGGAGAAAGGAAAATAAGCAGTTCAGCCCTGGGCACAGGGATATAAGAAGCCCAGAACCACAGAACAAACCAGGGCATAGGAAGAAAGGAGCAGAGGCTACCCCAGGCTTTAATCCTGATCTTGAGGTCAAGGGAATCAGGAAGACAAAAACCACACTCATTCCATGAGGAATGACAGAAGAGAATGTTAACACTTGACAGCATCTGACCACGGGAAGTCAGTGAGCAGCAGGATTTTTTGGCCAACTTTCAAGCAGACGAACAAACTAAGGAAGAATGAGGAAGAGAGGCATAAACACAGATCTTGCAGCCTTCACTCTTAGGCCAACTGCATCCCAGAGATGGTGTTCAAGGGTGGGGAACAAAAATCACAGAAAAGAAGTCTCTATGGTTCTTAGAGGATTCCTCTACCACATATCCAGAGTACTTGTTTGGTTGTCATCGTATAATAAAGGCTTCTTCTGTGATGTTTCACTTATTAAGTCTACATATCCACAATCTGAGTCTAAAGAGTTCTCCCTTTTTGGTGGGAAAGGGCAGTCATTCCTCCAACCCCATCCCCCCAAGTCCCCAGTCAAACCAGGCGCTCAAGGAATTACAAAGCTACTTTTAATACTTTGGGGTGAGCCCCACAGGAATAAAAAACACTGGGAAGGGGTAACCCCCTCATCCCCGGGAGTGGCCCAGGGGTAGAGAGGCTACCTGAGGGGAAGGAAGCACAAAAGGGACCCGCTGCAGACTCAGGGCAAAGGGAATGCCATCGGTGCTGGGACCTGTGAGCACTACAGGAGGAAACGCGAGCGTGGTGGGACTGGCTCCAGGCACACAGGCGAAGGGCAAGAGGGTTGGACACGAAGCCACAAAGCTACTTGGGTTCCTCCTTCTTCTCGTTTGCCTTTTTCTGCTTCTGCTGCATGATCTCCGAGTCCCTGGGGGTAGAGATGATGGGGCACTGGGAGGTACCAGAGGGCAAAAAGGACAAGATGCAGGGGGATGAAGGGCACAAAGGATAAGATGGAAGTGGATGGGACTAAGCTCAGCGTTTGGCTGCTGCACTCCCACCCTAGGAGAACAAGAGGAAGAGAGCTGAGGCTCAAAAGGCAACCAGTTTCCATCTGGCTGTTGCCCAAAGGGTTAGAAGTCTGGCGACACAGGCCCAAGGCTCTCTATTCTGTATTGAGTACCACACCCAACAACACCAGTGAGTAGGTTGGGAGAAGGGAGGAGAACCGAACAGCAAGGAGTGCCAAAGTACTGGGCGGTCATAACCACAACTTATTTGAAATGTGAAGCTCCCTGCCCTTGCCCTTAAGGTCAGACCCAGGCACGGTCAGAAATCAGACTGAGGGCAGTTGCCCGCCCCCGTCCTTTCCTGTAAGGCTGTAAGCTAACAATTTGGAGGGTGGGGAGGAAATAAAACCCTAGAGGAAGCAATGCACTCTGCTCCTCACGACTAGTCCAGATTCAAGCCCTGAGATAGATCTTTCCTGCTACAACCCTTGGTCTAACCCAGGTCTCCATCGTCCCTTTCCCTCCCCTCCCTGGGGCTACCTCTGCTTGCGGGCGGCAGCAGAAAGCCCGTCATCTCGGCGCTTTCCCTTAACCGAGTCGCTCTGCTTTTTCATATTCTTCTGGCGGGCGAGCTCTCGCTGGTTACCGCCTAAGGAAAGAAGATTAAAGGTGAGACGCGGGGGCCGCTCTGCCCACTCACCCGCAACCCTTCTACCCCCAGTGCGGCCAGCAGCAGGATCCACCACCACTTCAATCCCTCGGCCCCGACACCGGCCCCCTTCGAAGCTCAGGCTGCTTAGGGTAGGGGGGAGTGGCGAATCTGCCAACGGCCGGATCAAAATGCGGAGTGGAGAGAGGTCCCGAGAAGCCAGCTGGAGGCGTGATGTGGGGCCCAAACAGCTGGCGGGGTCTGTGGGGACGGTTTGGGTCTCTGCGGGGGATGAGCTGGCTTGTGAAGTAGGGAGCTGTGGGCCTATCACAGGGGCACTGGGCTTCTCCTCACACCGCGGAAGGTCCGGGAGGGCCTATGCCTAACGCGGGGAGGTGGTCCCGTGAAGTGGCTGTGGGCAAAACGCTCGATTTCCGGGAACCGAGTGTGAGGGTGGCTACAGAGCGCGCCCAGAAAAAGGCCTCGCCAGGGAAGCTACGGAAGGTCAAAGCTGGCGACTCGGAGGTGTTGTTAAGGGTGAAGGGAAAGAAAAGGGCAAGGAGAAGGGGGCTAGGTGCTCACGGGTCATGGCGACGGCAGCGGCTACGACCTCCCTCCGTTACGTCCCCTCGTTCTGTCCGACGTTGCAGGTCCCGCCCCTTCTCGCAACGTAACGCAGTCGTCCCTTTCCTCCCCGCCCCTTCGCACCCGGACACCGGCTCCCATTGGACAAGAAAAAACACGTGGGTCCACAGCCGGGGTGGGTAAGGGACTTAGAGTTGCGGGCGGGGTACTCAGCGTGGGGCGGGGCCTCCGGAGCTAGGCTTAGGGCCCGGCTTGGAGAAACTAGGCCGGCTCACGTGGGCTGGGTGGGGGGGGAGGGGTGTGGCTGGCGATGTGGCGCTCCCGCGGGCTCCAGCATATGACCGGGCAGAGTGACCTCGTGCGGGGACAGTTTGGGGTACTGACAAAGTCGCCCTGAAGGAGTGCCGGGAGACGGACGGTGGGGTTTAAGCCAGTTCTGTGTTACGGGTACTCTACGACTAAACTTCTTACTTAGGACCACCTCTAAGCCGCTTACTTAACGCGAGTTGTTCTCACCTCGCTTAAAATCTAGTACAAACACAACTTAAGAAACTTGCTTCTATTCCCATTGTCTCCTTCCACGCCCCTGCCACATCTGGTATTTCCTAAAAATCTGCCCTGCTCATTTTTCCCCTAGAAACTTTAAATGTGAAAATGCAACTTAGAAATACTGGAGGACTCCAAAATCACAGACTATGGAGTTGAATCAGTGGCTGAGATTAGATAATGCACAAATTATGTCCGCTTTTCCCCTCTGGACCTTTCCTCACTGTGTCATCTCCACCAACCACAACTGGTTTTGTATTAAGACCTTGGAATAAGACCAAAAGCAAAAATTAGCCGGGCGCGGTGGCTCACACCTGTAATCCCAGCACTTTAGGAGGCCGAGGCGGCTGGATCACGAGGTCAGAAGATGGAGATCATCCTGGCTAATACAGTGAAACCCTGTCTCTACTAAAAATACAAAAAATTAGCTGGGCGTGGTGGTGCATGCCTGTAATCCCAGCTACTCAGGAGGTCGAGGCAGGAGAATCTCTTGAACCCGGGAGGCAGGGGTTGCAGTCAGCTGAGATTGCACCACTGCAGTCCAGTCTGGGTGACAGAAAGAGACGCTGTCTCAAAACAAAACAAAAACCCTGGAATAAGACAAGAAGCAAAAATTAAACTCATTCTCATTCCCAGTTCCATTAATCTTTTTACAAAACTCTCCACCAGACCTGAGGAATTAACGGGTTAAAGGAGAAATGCTTAGGAAATATCACAGGAAAGGATTGGTTGTAGATGTTAATTTGTGTCTCTCTCCGCTAGTGCCCACAGCACAACCAAGTTGAGGCTCGAATTTCAAGTTAGCTTCACCTCAAAATAGAGCTGATGGAAAGTAGTAAATCTCAATCAGTACTATCCTCACTATTTCTTCCATACCAAAGTATCTGAAAAAATATTACTAAATATTTTTTGTATCAGTCTTAAATAAAAGATATAAATCAAACTTAATATTTTCATAGTAAATCTAAAATCAACATCATTTGCTCACAAAAAGTAAGTATAAAATGAAATACATAATTAAAGTATACCAAAATAGTTGGGGCATGGTGGCTCACGCCCATAATCCTAGCACTTTGGGAGGCCAAGGCAGGAAGATTGCTTAAGCCCAGCAGTTTGAGACCAGCTTGAGCCATACAGACACCCCACTTCTCTTTGGGTATTAGTAATAGCCAAATTATGCCCTCTTTGAAGGTGTTAAGCCTGGAACTTAACTTTTTTTGGGAGTGGGGGGAAGGATCTCACTCACCCATACTGGAGTGCAGTGGAGAAATCTCAGCTCACTGCAACCTCTGCCTCCCAGGCTCAAGTGATTCTCCTAGCTCATTGTCCGGAGTAGCTGGGGCCACAGGCGCATGCCACCATGCCCGGCTAATTTCTTATTTTTTTATTTTTTGTATTTTTAAAGAAATGGGTTTCGCCATGTTGCTTAGGCTGGTCTCGAACTCCTGAACTTAGATGATCCACCCAGCCTCTGACCACTCTTGAAAAGATAAATTAACAAGTGTTAAAGAGTTTAAGAGGGACCGGGCACGGTGGCTCACGCCTGTTATCCTAGCACTTTGGGGGGCCGAGGTGGGTAGATCACCTGAGGTCAGGAATTCAAGACCAGCCTGGCCATCACGGTGAAACCCCATCTTATAAAAAAAAAAAAAAAAAAGAGTTTAAGAGAGGCCGGACACGGTGGCTCACCCCTGTAATCCCACATCCTGCCATTGCACTCCAGCCTGGGCAACAGAGTGAGACTCTGTCTCAAAAAAAAAAAAAACAAACAAAGTTAATAAGATACCCTTAGGCTGGAGTGCAATGGGGCCATCTCAGCTCACTGCAACCTCCACCTCCAGATTTCAAGCAATTCTCCTGCCTCAGCCTCCCAAGTAGCTGGGATTACAGGCACCCACCACCATGCCTGGCTAACTTTTGTAGAGATGGGGTTTCATCATGTTGGCCAGGCTGGTCTTGAAGACCTGACCTCAGGTGATCCACCTGCCTCAGACTCCCAAAGTGCTGGGATTACAGGCATGAGCCACCACCCACGACTGGCATTGGGTATATCTTGATGAGCAGAACATACTCCTACAATGAAAGATACAAAGAGAAAAAAGTTCTCTCATATACTTTCTCTCTGTCCCACTATCTCTCTCTCTCTCTCTCTCAAATGCATATATGTATATATATATCTGTGTGTCTATATATATGAATTTTTTTTTTGAGATGGAATCTTACTCTGTTGCCCAGGCTGGAGTGCAGTGGCGCAGTCTCGGCTCACTACAACATCCACCTCTTGGGTTCAAGCGATTGTCCTTTATCAGCCTCCCCACTAGCTGGGATTACAGGTGTCCACCACCACACCCAGCTAATTTTTGTATTTTTAGTACAGATGGGGTTTCACTATGTTGGCCAGGCTGGTCTTGAACTCCTGACCTCATTTGTGATCCACCCATCTTGGCCTCCCAAAGTGCTGGGATTACAGGCGTGAGCCACCACACCAGCCTATATATGAAAACTGATTGTGATAATAGCTTTAATGGAAAATGACAGATTCCACGCAAGGATGATATTCAAAATGTTTCACAGTACACACAGCATAAGCACTGACCCATAAAAACAGATGTCGGTGTAATTTGAATGAGGATTCTGTGAGCAATTCCACCTGGTATGAAATAACTAAATAGTACTGCTGATGCTATGAAGGAAGTACACCTGTGGACTCTGTAGGCTTTAATTTTGATTAGGGAGGTGAAGTAAGTGATATTCGAGCTAAAGCAAAAAGATGATGAATTAGCCAAGGCAAGGAGGGAAGGGCCGGGAGAACATTTCAGGAGGGAACAGCACATGTGAAGGCTCTGAGGCTCTCCTCCCTCAGATCATCCCATCAAGAGCCACAAGACTATTGTGTAGGTAAAGGGCAAGTCACTAATGCCTAAGGAGCAGGGTGGTGTGAGACTAGTCAGATAGGGAGGTAGGGTTGTGATGAGATCCAAGCTACTACTGCTAATACAACTACTAGCTAACATCAAGTGGGTTTTTATTTGGTACATTTTGTGTACTTTTCTTATTTGAGGCTTACGATGACCTTTGGAGGTATCATTACCCTCTTCCTACCGATTTAGAAACCTCCTCCCAAGCAGGTTAAATAACTTTCTCAAGGAAACTGAGATAATAAGGGGTGGAGCTGAGAGTCTAACCCAGCCTGTGCTCTTCATCAGCAGCATGTAAGTTTTGAAAAGATCACTTTGCCAGTAGAGAATGTATTACAGCAGATGAATAGAAATGAGACTGGTCAGGAGGATATCACGGGCAATAGGCTCTAGGTCTCAGTTTAAATGTCACCTCATGGAGGCTACAGTGAGATGTGATCACACCACTGTACTCCAGCCTGGGTGACACAGTGAGACCCTGTCTCAAAAAACAAACCTCAGAAGTGGTTCTCCGGGAGGTGGAGGTTGTGGTGAGCCGAGATCGTGCCATTGCACTCTAGCCTGGGCAACAAGAGCAAAACTCCAACCCCCACAAAAAAGAAAAGAAATTCCCCTTCAGCCTATACTCAAGGGTGTAGTACTGAATGGCTAAGGGTGGTATTGAATGGCTAAGTCAATCAAAGTAAACTAATCCCTTTTAATATTGATTTAGGAATATTAAATCAATTTTAATCAATTTTAGGAATATTGATTTAGGATATAAGTTTAGGAATCCAGGCCTAAACAGATTATTTCATCATATTCACCTGGTAACAGTTACTGGTTCAGGAATGAGCATGTGGCCTAGATTAACCTGATCAGACCAAAGGGAAGGACTTTTTATCCATTGCTATGGGAGTGACAATGCTGTTTCCCACTGAATGAATGAGGAAAACATAGCCCATACAGCTCCTAGCAGCTCCAGTCTATCACCTAAAAGAGAGGCAATGTTAGGTTGAAGCAAATGAATAGCAGAAAGAATCTTGGTACTTGGTGGTGTTGTTGGACCACTGGATACCTCAACTGTAACATTTCTTCTACATTGAGTGTCCTGCCGTGGGAGGGAACAACCATATTTTTGTTTGTTTGTTCGTTTAATCTGCCTTGAGTCAGGTTTCTGTTACTTCAGTCAAATATATTTTAATCAAACATAGACAAGAGAAATAGCATATGCCAAGGCCCTGAGATGGGAATAAGCTTGGATAATTAGATGCAATTAGGCCTCACCTAATGAAATGGTTCAGTCAGATTATCTTAAAGTGCAACCAGCTCTTCCCATGCATACCAGACATCACCCAGGTTTTTAGTGCCTTGCTTGTAGAGATGAATATAGAGCCAAGGATCACCAAGCATTGGAGAAAACAGCCCTAACATAAAAATAGACCCCCAAAAAACAGAAAATTCAATCTCACTGCTGGGCATCGTGGCTTATGTCTGTAATCCCAGCACTTTGGGAGGCCAAGATGGGCAGATCACTTGAGGTCAAGAGTACAAGACCAGCCTGGCCAACATGGCAAAACCCAATCTCTACTAAAAATACAAAAATTAGCTGGGCATGGTGGCATGTGCCTGTAATTCCAGCTACTTGGGAGGCTGAGGCACAAGAATTGCTTGAACCCAGGAGGCGGAGGTTGCAGTGAGCTGAAATCACGCCACTGCACTCTAGCCTGGGTGACAGAGCAAGACTCTGTCTCAAAAAAAAAGAAAGAAAGAAAAGAAAAAGAAAATGCATTCTCAGAAGAAATCAGAAACAATTCATTTTCAAAAACCACAAGAAAATCGGAGACACAGGACTATAAATAGTATTATTTGAGAGAGAGGATACTGAAAAACAACGGGGAGTTTATAAAAAGAGATAATTCAAAAAACATCCAGGTGTGGTGGCTTGTAC